CGGGCATTTCCTTGCAGGTGGGCTCCTCTGCGCTGCCCCCTGGTCGCAGCAGGTGATGACACAGCCGGTGCGGCCTCAGGACGCGCAGGGAGGCCTCGGGACAGGTTCGCGCTCAGCGACCACGGCGGGCGGGGGGCGCCCTCGAGCCCCTGGGCGGGGTGCCCGAGGCTAAGGGCTGTCTGCGCCTCACCAGTGCACGTATTTTACTTTTATAAAAAAATCAGGAAACAAATATGTCTTGTCGAAGCCCAGGCCAGGGAGGGCTTGTGACCTTTGATGTCGCGCTTTCAGGGGCAGGGGCCCCTCTCCTGCCTCAGGGGCTTCTCTGCTAGGACCTGGGGGGCTGCAGCTGTCCCCACAGAAGCCCTCGGGGGCCCTGAGAGGACTTTGTTACTTGGATGGGGGTCCTGTTGTCCCCTCAAAGACACAATATCCCCAAAGCAAGTCACTGTCCCCGACTCCAAAGCAGCTCATCATGGAAAGGCCAGTTCTCTCTCCCTCTCTCTCTCTCTCTTTTCAGTAATCCTCACCTGAGGATATTTTTCCCATTGATTTTTTAGAGAGAGTGGAAGGGAGGGAGGGAAGGGGGGAGAGGGAGAGAGAAACATTGATGTGAGAGAGACACACTGATTCATTGCCTCCTCCCTGACTGGGGCTCAGGATCTGAACCCTGAACCCAGGTATGTGCCCTTGACTGGAGTCGAACCCGCAACCCTGCGGTCTGCAGGCTGACGTTCTAACCACTGAGCCGAACAGGCCGGGGCAGGAAGGCCAGTTCCTGGTGGTTGGCGTTTCCATTTTCCCGTGCCTCCTGGCTGCAGGGCATTTGAAGCCAAGCCTTCTGCCAAGGTCCCTGCCCTGCCGGGGACAGGGAACCGATCCCGTCCAAGTTTTTCCTGAAAGATGCCTGGCATCCAGTGCCCGGGTCTGCGGGGAGCCCGATGAGTCAGCTGGGTGGGTGGTGCTGGTGCCATCCCAACCCGCCTCATGCGGTCCCTGCGTTACTGAATTTAACCTTTACATGCCCCCCGGCCCCCAGCTTCTCCATTTTGGAGCAGAGTCACTGTGAAACTTGGAAGCCGAAACCGCAGGGGCCCTCCTTCACTTGCACAATCTCCCTGGCGGCTCTGGAGGGGGCCCGGCCCTGTGCTCACATGGTCATATGCTTTTGTGAAATTTGCAAAGTAAGAGATTTTAAGCCCAGTTGTTGGGACCTGTCTCCTTCCCCTCAACTTCCCCTCTAACATACTTCCTTGGGCAAGGTTGGTGTGGCTGTGCCATTTTATTTTATTTTATTTTATTTTATTTTATTTTATTTTATTTTATTTTATTTTATTTTACTTTACTTTACTTTATTTTATTATTTTATTTTATTTTATTTTATTTTTTGACAAATGTCTTGACATTATATATCAACAACAAGTTGTGAAGTTAAAAGAAAGTTCTAAACCAGCAATATGAAGAACACATTTCAGTAAGTCGATCTAGAGGAGAGACTGAATTAACTTTCTGGAGAGCACGTTACAAAAGGTGGTCCTATGTAGAGACAAAGATTACAGCAAAGAACGAAGGTGAAAGAGTCTTAGCTATGAGCTTTGTCAGGTGTGATGTAATGAACTGATGTGCATTTTTAATTTTTTTATTTTTTGAGCCTCACTTATTATTGATTTTAGGGAGAGAGGAAAGGCGGGGGGCGGGGTGAGAGAGAGATGGATGTGAGAGAGAAACATCGATCGGCTGCCTCCAACACTCCCCAGCCGGAGATCGAACCCAAAACCTAGGTATGTGCCCTGACCGGGAATTGAACCCGAAGGCTTTCGGTGTTTGAGATGATTCTCTAACCAACTGAGACACCTGACCAGGCCTATAAATATTTTACATTTCTGAATTTTTCGCGGCTTTAAAAAATTTGTACTTTGTGATTTATTTTCTCATTCTAAACAAACGCTTTATTTTATATATTCTTAGCTGTGTGTTTTTTATATATATAAAAAGGGCTCCCACATAGTACAGACTTAAGCCTTACAAAACCCAAGTCATCTCAGCCCTTTCCATTTCCAACCAATTGATCGTCTGTAAGTATTGTCCTCATGCTAATAACCTAGAGTGCTCCCCTCATCTCCCTTGGGAGGCAATTGAGGGGAGCAGAGAAAAGCCAACATTGGGTGACAGCCAGGGGTGCATCACTCAGGCCTACAGTTAGGGGGTTATAATGCCCATTTCACAGATGAGACTGAGGCTGGAAGTTGAAGTAGCTTTTCCTGTGGTGGATTTGCACTGTGCCCATTTAGGCTATCACTGCACTTCCTAGAATTCTCCCCCCAGCAGAGCTCCGAGTCGGCATGGGCCGGGAGACATGTGTTTGTACGGATTTGGGAGGTGAAGTCAAGGTGCAGCCCTATTCTTCTGTGCTCGAGAGGTCTGGGCAGGGCATGAGCCTTGCGGTCACAACGTTGCGACTTACCTGCTGGCACCCGGGTGGCAGGGACTGCAGCCGGCCCAAGGCTCCTCTGCTGCAGCTTCCCTGACTCCCGGGCCAGGTGCGCGTTTAGCTCCCCAGCCACGGTCACGAGCCTTCCCGCAGAATGCCCCATGCCGCCGTCCAAGTTGGAGGCTTGGAGCTGGGGAGGGACCCAGGGGCTCCAGCTCAGCTACCGGTTCCACCTGTCCCTGCATTCTCGGCCTCCCGGCCACCTTTACCTCCTGACCTGAGAATTCAGGCTCCAGTCCCAGACACAGGGGCCCACACAGACTTTGGCCCACTCCCCGCAATCGCCTAAGGTCAAATCCCTGTATCAGCCTCACACACACACACACACACACACACACACACACACACATGCTGTGGCCTGGTGGTTCTGCTTCTCTCATCTAAAGCTGGCCGATCTTGCCCCCAAATCACACAGCCAGTTGCTGGGGGGGGG